TGGGTGTTACATTTTTTGCAAAATCATGGCCCAAAATCAAGCAAAGATAAACAGGTCATGAATATATTTAGGCTGGGAACCAGAAGCACAGCCTTCCAGTCGTAGGAATTGCAAGCATTGACATAAGGCACCAGAAATTTCTGTGCACATTTTTCCAGCCTAAGCGGGGTGTGGATGAGGATCCAAGAGGCCTCACAGGACCAGAGTGGCCTCTGGGAGCCTGGGAGGATGGTGAGCAAGCACAAAATGCATCCAGAGCTCACCATCCCCTCCCGCCTGAACAGGCTCCCATTCAAGGTCCTTGTCCCACGGTTGCTATCATAATTCAACCCTATTAAATCCTCACCTTAAATCAGCATGTCCAAGGTGACCAGCACTCTTCGGAGTTGAGATTCACACTTGACACAGCCACTTAAAGCCCAGCCAACCATGGTTTTGGGACTCTGCATTCTCCTAAGCATGTCTACCCTCTCCTATCTTCTATGTCTCCAAAACTTACCCAGAGATGTGTGTTATGTGTGCAAGAAATCATGAAACCCTTCCTAACCGCACTCACATTTTGGACCACTCTTGCTCTCCACTGGGACATCCATCTCCATCGCTCTCCTCCTGCATCCCAGACACGTGACCTGGATTTGACCCAAGCTGCTGGCCCCACCAGTGCCACCTGAAATGGTTTCAATTGGCTTCCAGCTGGTTCCAGTTGGGAGCCCTGGTTTCTCCTGTCCCCTGGATTCCCAGGTGCTCACCTGTGGCAGGTGATGCTATCCCCTGTTCTTACTGCAGATTTCCAGGTACAGCAATATAACACACTGAGCCCTGAGAGGCAAACGTTGCCAACAGACCCCTGTGTACCTTGGAAAAGGACTCAGGCTCTTGAGTGTGACACAAAGGATTTGGAAATCACGGAGCCGTTTGATTTAACCATACAGCTCTGCACTGCCAAGGGCCACGCGTGTGTGATGAAAAATGTGCGTGGCGTTTACGTGAGGATTTGTGAATGAATGAATCAAACTCTCTCCCCTGAACCACATGGTGCTGCACTACACACCGTTATTAACAGATCAATAATATTTATGGGAGGATTTTGTAAAACGTGTTTTCTGGAGGGGTTTTGCTGGTGTTCAGCACACCCAGCAGTGAGTTTGGTACGAGCAGGGTGTGCAGCACAGCCCTGCCAGAGCTGGGGAGCTCTTGAAGGGTTGATGACAATGTTCAAGGCAGAGCAGAAAGCTGTGATACCCAAGAAATGTGGGAAGAACATGCACTTTGGCTCACAAATTCCTACAATAAACTTTGCTCGAGTTAAAGGAGCAAAGGAAGTCCTCAAATCTCTCCCTTCCAGGAACCACCACTGCATGCTGGACTGGTTAAACCTATCCACGACTTCACAGTCTCCTCTCGAACATATAAAGCCCTGTCCTTGTGCTCTGTTCTGGACATCTGAGTTGTCCCTGTCCCCTCTGAGCTCCCAGCTGCTCTGTCCATTGCCACATGCGAGGCTGCCTGGGTACGTGCTGCCTTCTTCATACGTGCAGGGGCCATCTGACCTTGGGAAGGACCCACACAAAGCGCCCAGCCCACTTAAATCCCCCAGATGGGACTTAAGCAAGACTTCAGTAATGCCTGGAATGAGTTTTTCTGCAGTAAACTGAGGAGCAAAGCTGCGTTTTCAAAGCCAGGGCTATAAATGGGCATCACTGCGCGGATCTCAGTTAAAAGCATTTCACTATGAAATGAAAAGAGCATGAACTAAGCCACCTTCAAAATACTTGTTGCTACAGAGGCAATACCACCTCAAAAGGTTGTAAGGGGGAAGAATCTGATGTTCATTTCTCTATTTTTGGTGCTTCTGGTTCCTGTGTTGCACCCAGATGCGTGCCCAGCACAGTTCCCTTTTGCTTCAGGCTCATTGGACCTCCTACTTCCCCACACAGCACTGTCTGCATTACAACATGCAACAGAGTAACCTTTGTGCAGTGGAGATTTATACTCACGGCCAGACTTGCACAAACTTATTTCTTAGGAAATTTTACAAATCAAGCCTAGAGAGTAGCTGAAAATGTCAGTTTACTGCTGAGTTTAGTGGGAGGCTGGACTGGGAGACGTCTGCAAGCTGAGAGCAGCGGTCTGTGCTGCACGAGTGATTCAGCACCTACAGATGCTTACGGATCAGGAAGCAAAAGAGTCGCAAAGGTTAGTTATTGGAATTGTTTTGCATGATGGGCTATAAGGGAGCCAGTCATTGCTATTTTGGATGGACTAAAAGCGAACAAAAACGCTTACACCATCGCTCTTCCAGATTCGTGTGCACTTCCAAATCCAGCCCCTGACCTGAGCGAGCCCGAGCTGTGCTCAGAGCCCGTTCCTCTGGGAAACCAGTCCACTGGCCCAGGCATCCACCTACATCGCGTCACTGATGACATCAGGGCTATAATTTGTCTGAACAAAACAAACACGAGCTGCCAGGCTCCCCAGAGGACCGATCTCTTCATCAGACAGCTTCTCTTCTGCTTTTTTTTCTGTGGGTTGTAGCTCATGTGCTCTAAGGGTAACTTCAGGGGCTTTTCAGTGATCATTGTGTAAAATGTGGCAACAAAAGTGGTTCAACTCTGCAAAAAGTCTTCAGCCAGACTCTGGGGATGCTGTTAAACGGCTGGGATGCTCTCAGGGAAGGCAGGATCAGTGCCCAGGGCCAGTGCTGCCCGGTGTGGTCCTACAAATGCGTTACCTTGTGCAGAACCAAACCCACATATGGAAAACCTCTGTGAAGCTCAGGGGCTCCTTATGGGCCTCAGATTTCTTCCTCACAGCAGAACAGTTCAAGTCTGCGGCTGCCTGCATATCACCAAATCAATGCACACATTTATCTGTCAAGAATGACTTCAGCAAGAGACTGACAAGCACGATTACAATAATTAATGGACTTCAGCAATTATCCGTGTTTCTGTGATATGTCAGGGATGTAACAGCAAGCTCGGGGCTGGGTAGGAGCAGAGCTTCCAGGGCTGGATCAAGTGCAGGGTATAAAGTTTTATTTTACTTCAGCAACTTGCTCAAAGGAGCACTTTGCTCAGAACTGATTAAACTGATTTTTTTGTTTTTATAGTTATGGGGTCGCCCTAACTATGAAATATGTGCCCCTGCCAGCCCCTGCACGGATTTCAGCATTGGCTAAAGATGCCTGCTGGAAAAAGGCAAGAAGCAAGACAAAAGAAAATAAAAGTCCAAGAAACAAACGGGAATTCTGTGGTGGTCTTATGCAGTGAGAGGAAAAAAACAGAAATTTGCTTAAAAAAAATAGAAATTGAGAAGTTAATTATTTTTGGCAGGACTTACACACATTTTGCTTATCAAGGGACCATCACAGGAAAGGGTTTATTTTATAGGAGCATAAAAGTTCCCTCCCTCCTTCAGTTCTCCCGATCCCAGGCTGCCTCCCTGCAGTCTGAGGGGCCTCTTTACGGGATTACATTTCCACTTCTTTATTCTGGATGGAATATTTTTAAAAGACAGACTTACCCAGCACACCACGCCTGTTCCTGGGTATTGCTGCCCCCTGCAAGTCAGTCCAAGCAAGGGACAGACGCAGCGCTGGCTGCCCGGTAGTGCAGTGCAAGAGGAGTCCAAGTTCTTGCTGTAACTCCAGCCTGTCCAACCTTGCTCTGTTTTTTGGGATCTGGGGACCGCTGAACCACATCCCTCCAGTGGCATCAGCCAGACTCAACACCCATGACTGTTCCTGTGTGGCTGAACCCGTCTCCCTTCGAAAAACCATCCTCCGCCCCAGCTGGGTTTGGGGTTTATGTCCCCCCAGCCCCGCAGCTGCCCTGGTCAAGCCTAAACCCAGCTCCCTGCCCCTGCTCCCTCATAGCTGGAGCTTTTTGGGGTGGGTTTTTTTGCTGCCTGCTCACTCTGGGGAGGTGGGAACACACTGAGAGGTGTGCAGAAAGGATGCTCTTGCCCTTTGTTCTTGTGAATGGGCAAACAAACTGCATTTAAATAGAAATAACTGCAGGTAAAGGACATGGTGGTGTACCAGACAGGGCAGGTACCATCTCTGGCGCTCCTCTGGTCTGCCTCTGTTTTGGCTCTGTTCTTCACATGTGCGCTAGAAATAGCCCAGCCTGTCTCCTGATGCAATGAGGGATGCTCACAAAACATCTACAACTACAATGTCCTGTCGCTTGGTGCAGAAAGAAAACTTGCCTATGCCTAACACATCAGAGAAAAATGGTTTAAGCAGTTTATCCATGTGAAAACAAGCTCCCAGCAATCCTGCCAAGGTCAGCGTGGACTGCTGAGCTGGTGCTCTGCTGTGAGTCACAGCTGAGTCTTGCACATCTGCCTTTTCCAGGCATGCAGGACACCTTGGAGAGGTGCAAGCCATCCCTTCCCATGCCCTTCTCCCTACCCTCTCCAGGGACATGTCCCACCTGCCTGCCCTTATGCTTGCTCTTCACTTAACTAGAAAAGAAAACCTAGGGCTTTCTCCCATCAAACATGATCAACACACAAATGAAACCTGGGTAGGGATTTAATGAATGCAGATTTATGTGCGGGGCCCTGTGGTGCTCAGCGTGGTCACCACCCTTTGGCCAGCCACCGGGATGGTGTAGATGGGGAGCGGGGTCTGGGTGTTCTGTTTTCCTTGTGTGAAGAAGATGGTCCTGATTTGGGGTAAGTCCAGCAAAGAGGGGGTCTCCTCTTCCCAGCACCAGCCCCAAGGTCTGCCCCAGTGTGGGACTGGGAGTACCTGGCTGTGCTGCTCCACCAACAGTGACCGGGCTGCTTCAGGTGTGACCTGCATGGCTCTTCCTTGCCTTGGCTCTGCCAGGGCACCAAGTGAGGATTTTCATTGTGCTCTGCTCATCAATGAGTCCTCATGAACTCCCCATTGCCTGCCCTGGCAGGAAGAGTTGCTCTCCCAGTGCAGGTGAGATGCTGAGGTCTCCAGGCCCTCTCCTTTGGTCTGTGTCACCTCCCATTCTGCCCTGCTGTTAACTCTCCTCAGAGGTGTCATTGTGGGAAGGGGAGCAGTTCTCTGGTTCCTTCGCGATCCCTGCTGAGCCTTGCTCTGCTTTGACTTTCTTTCTTCCTCTCATTGACTTCTGAGCTCCTGTTAACAGCAAGAGGAGCGCAGGAGTTAACCACAGAGCAGTGGATTTACATGAAAGAGGTCAGTGTGGCCTCATCCCAAAGTAGAGACAGTGCAGGAGGAAGGAAGCTCAGCAAAGAAAAAATTAAGAGAAACCCCTCTCAAGTGAGATGCACGGGTACCTGGGGAGGCTGTTGTGATCCTGGAAACACAAACAAGGTATGAAGCAGAAGGAGGCAGAGAATGGCCTTGGTGCAGGTGTATCTGAGAGGGTACCTAGAGCAGCAGCATGCATTTCATGGGGTTCTCCCCTTTCCAGTGTGGTAGCCAGCAGACACCACACTAGAGAGGGGTTATGCTTCCCCATCACCCCATTCCTGCCACAGCTGCATCCAGTCCTCTGGGTGTTTCTGACAGAGCACTTTTTATGGCTGGCCAACCACACTGACTTATCCCTGCCATTACCAGGAGCAGTTTTCTGCTTATTCACCTGTAGGAAGCATGGGTACAACACATTCCTCTGTTGGCAGGGAAAACCTCCACAACCTCACTGGAAGAGCAACAGAGTTGGCAGAAACCTTTCTCTGAATGTCAATAATTCACCCCTGGGAATCTGGCCTTCTCCAATCACTACTTCCTTCACAGGCTAAGAAAACACAAGGGACGTGGCCCTGTTAGCGCTCTCCTGGCCACCCTGCCCAGGCTGACTGTTAGCAGGGGCTCCTCTGGCTGGAGACCCAACTGTTGCCAAAACACAGCGCAGTGTGTCTTATCACGGGAACAAAAGACTCCACTGTACCACCTTGGGCAAACATTTGTTTTCAGTGTGGCATGCCCTGCTGCGGGGAAGGCGGCCGTGCCCGCAGGCGTTTCTCACAGGAGCCCCTTGGGCAGCAGCAGAAGCTGTAACTCTGAGCTGATGCCCCAAGGAACTCCTCCTCCTTACCTTTTGTCCAAGAATCCTGTCCCCTTTTTCTCTTCTTTGGCAGCGCATGAGGTTTGTCTTTGGTGCAAAAATACTTCCCATCAGCCTGGGCTTCTTGGAGGATACCATCTTCGTATGAGGCAGCTACCTACACCAATGAGAAGAGCAGTCAATCTAAGAATTACCTTGCTGTCCCAGGGAGCTGATGGCACAGCAGCATTGCTGGGGACATCTGTGAACACTGCTATGAAGCAGTGACACGTGCTGCTGTTCATAAACCCTCTTGACTAGCTGGCAAGAGTGACATTGTCAGCAACAACCTGGGTGCCAGTGAGGGCATGGGGTTTGGCACCTCGTGTAGGAAGGTGAGGTGATCGTCATCTCGGGTGGGGACAACCTGTCTGACACCTCCCAGACCCAACAGCCTGAGCAAACACACCTCGCTGTCTGTCGTGTCTGCCTCCTCGGATTCCTGATTCCCAGACTCAGCATCATCATCATCTAAGGAAACACAAAAGGAAAGGTTTGAGCTTTTCTTTGGCTTGTAGGGGCCCCAACAAGCTCACAAGCAGATGCAGAGCCACCGGCCCACTCTCTGAGAGCCATCGAGGCAGAATAAAGATTCAGCAATAAATTGTGCTGCAGAGCAGAGGCACTGTGAGCTACATGGCTTGAAATGGATGTTTATGGGAGATTCAACTGGACTCAAACAGGGAACCAGCTCCTGATAAACTCTATTCCTAGGACTTTGCTACACCAAGGTTGCAAGCGCTGCCCCAAAATTCATGGCCACATGCAGGTTGGAAAGCTGAGGGGTATTTAAAACCCCAGACTGCACTTTCCCATTTGAGACCCAGGTGGAGAGCAGCACGTTGGGATAAAAAGGCCAAAATGGACAATCCTTGTTTGACCGGAGTGGGTCAGGGGCTCTGGGCAGGGAGCAGGTACCAAGGAGCAGGGGGAGGAAAGGTGGGGGAGCTGTTTCCCTGCCCAGCAAAAGGATTTTGCTGCACACAGGCCCTGGGGTGACACAACCCCAGACACGTACCTGCACGCACCAGACACGCACCCAACCTTTGCACAGAGTGAAGCAGCTCAGGGCAGGGACTGAACCTTGCTGGTGGTGGCATCACCCTATCTGAACCCACAGCAGCACCCGTGTGCTGGCCATGGAGGGGAAGAAAGGGCTGGGGACAGAGATGTGCCCTCTTCTGAGGGGCAGGGGCATCCCAGGACCGCAACACTTCCCACTCCTAACACCAGGTCTACCCGATGGGTACTGATGCAGGGCAGCCTCTGTCAGTGCCCCTGCCTGGGTGGGAGAGCTAGGTATTGCTTTTGGGCACTTCGAGAGCCTCTGTAGTCTGATCCCAACCTCACTTGATCCTTCTATGGGTTAAGGTTCACTAGAAAGTGCAGAAGTATTTGTGTATTGTTCCCTGGTCTTTGTGTCAACCTTCAGGTGAGAACAGAGGAAAGTCCTGCATTCCCACACCCAGAATGTAATCAGCTGAAATTCCTCTGCTATGATGCTATCTGCTTAGCATGTAAATCACTGAGGACTCCCCCCCTTTATTTTTATTTCCACTGTGAAAAATCCTGCTCCAGAGAGTGTTCCCAAACCGCTCCGACACGCCCAAACCAACAAATCCAGGCGAGCTCAACTTTCTGGCCGAGCCGGTAAAGCCGGTACTGAGCAGCCCTGGGCAGACGTGCTCCCTGCTCTGCTCCCCATGGCTGCTGCCTCCCACCCACCAAGCAAACCCGGCACCCACAACCCATGGCATTGCACAGGGAGAAAGCACTCAGACCAAAGGCACTGCTGGTTTTGGGAAGGGAAAGGGCTTCACAGAATCACAGAATCGCTCAGTTGGAAAAGCCCTCTGAGATCATCATGTCCAACTGTTCCTGTCTACCCCCTAAACCATATCCTTAAGTACCTCATCTACCCGATGGAGTGGGGAAAGGGAGAAGAGCATCCTCTCCGATCTGCTGTAGGTACCAGCATCCCTCACTCTGTGCTTAACCAGAGCAGGAAAGGTTTTTTATAGTACTGTTCC